TCTTTGCTTTCTCCCAGCCTGCTATTCAAGTATTTGCCCTGATGTCTGGGATATACCAGCCAGGGTTTAGGTCAGGGCATGAGGAAGGGAGTTTTCTTTCAATTGAGTGTGAAAATCTCCCATTCATCTGCCTGTTCTTGCCCTTTTTCAGAACCATAGGGTTGTTAACAGATTCTTTGCCATATACAAGATTAACTAAGGAACAGATGCTTGAAACCCTTGGTATTTCACTGGCACAGTTAAATGTCTGGACTGCATACATTTAAGCGCAGCGAAAATCACTTCCAGGGATAAACAGGCTGTGGCAGAGCAGCACCGTTCGCAAGCCCATGCATCTCCTTCCTAAAGAGGATGCAGTAACTGTTGATGCTTAGGGATTGCTCCTGTATTTGCATCACAGTTTTACTGGTTAGACCAGACCAAAGAAATAGGGTGAAATAGGAGGGAAGTGAGGAGAAAAGCATGCATGATTCAGAATATCCTTTGTAGAGTTCAGCCAGTTGCTTTGGGGATCTGTTTTGAATTACCACTTCTCTTTAGAAGAAAGAGGAGTTACCCATACTCTTTCATCTTTTGAGGAAGAATGTACAAAATAATCTTCATATTGTCTCTCTAAACAATATGCGCACATATAAGAGAGTTATTCAGGGTAAAGAATCCATATACTATCAATGTTAGACTCAATATTCACAAGCGTGTTTTATAAAAAGTTGTTCTTGCTTTTGGTTACTTGTTTTCTTTTTATTTACTCAGTGTGCAGAATCATGGGCCTGTAAATTGTTATAGACAGAAGATGGAATATTTATATTTATTAATAGGAAACATTGTATGTGATTACTTTTTCTTCACTCCTTTCTTCTTTAATCTTCAGAAACCACATTGTCTTTTTCGTTTGTTGTTTTTTTTTTGAAGGCCAGCAATGAAACAGGGTTGTACTTGCAAAAATGATTCCTTTTAGTACTAGTCCAGTACAAGAGGAACGCTGAGTTCCCTCCGTCCAGACATCATAGCGATACAGCAGAAATCCCCTGAAGAGGGATTTAAAAAAAAAGAGAATAATAATGTGTGTGGAATTTGTTTTTGGGACAAGCATCTCCCAGCAGATGCCAGTAGGCAGGCTTTGGTGGGGAGCTCGTCCCGCCGCAGTGTTCGGGAATGCGGGTCGGCGCTCTAACGGCGGCGGGTGACCTGCGGGGCTGCACTGCCCTCTGCTGACGTGCTCGTGTATTGCAGAACCAACAGCTGTGCCGCGGCGTCCGGCTGCGGACACACGGAGCAACCTTGGAATTCACCGCACATAAATACGCCTGAAATAGCACCTGCTGACGGGAGGTTTTTGTTGAGGAACCAGAACTTCTGGTTGGAGAAGGTGCTGGTAGCTTTAGCTGGGAGGGAAGGATCTTCTCGACCTCTCATGTCTTTACAAATCAGGACCAAAGCTCCTACATTCCTGCCTCCTTTTGAAAAGTGTATTTAGGCTGCTGTATTATTTGGATGCTTTTGGAAAATAGACTGGATTGTTTCTTCTGCCTTGAGTTCTTGTTGCTGTCCGAGTTTGTAGGCAATTGGTAAAGATTCAGGGCCATGACTCTTCCATTTGGTGGGTAAATATCCTTTGTTCCAACGTGAACTGATCCAAGAGCCTGTTGGGGTAGCTGGCCTTACCTCCAGGACTTCCCTGCATCCACGCACAGGGAAACTACATGGAGCACCAGCCCCAAGGGAGGCTTCTCAATCCTGTTGCCTTGTGTTCAGTGTTCTGCTTCCTGGGCAAATGTCCACAAGGGAAAAATGTCCCCTGTGGATCTACAGATGGGCTGTTACCTCTGTGGCAAAGGGAGGCACAAATGCAGCACAGTAAAGTGTACTTCTGCCGCCTGCCACAGTATGAGTGGCAGTGAGCTTGGCAGCCTGGGACGGCATGTACGTAGGTTTGTAGCCCATGCTGAAGCCCACGCTATGGCTGTAGGGCTCTTGAGTCAGTGGTGCCAGCTGAGCTGAAGTTGATGCAAATGTGCCGACCAAGATTAAAGCTTTTGCTCTGTAACCTCACACCAAATAACTAACTTTCTAGTTTGCTCTTAATTGCAAAAGCAACAAAAGGAGGTCTTGAGTCATTTCCTTTTCAGATAGAGTCATCAGTCAGGCCGGTAATTGGAGATAAACTTGTGGACAAACGTTTGCTTGTGTTCTCTGAAAAAAATGACCAGTTGTTCACGCCAATGTAGACTGCTTCGTTCTCGTGGCAGGATATGCTTCTGTCCTATTCCGACACCAGGCTTGGCTGTTGACACTCCTTTTTTGTATCGTTATTGTTGTACCAGTGATTTGGAGTGTTATCAGGGATGAATATTTACACTTTCTTTCCACCCATACTTGTCTGAGTAAAACAGAATTCTGTTATCTGTCATTCCATCCCAACCTAAAACTAATTTTCAGAACAAGAAATAACCTAATCCTCTACTTTTATTTTTTTATTCTTAACTGGAGCTTATTAGAATGCTGTCACTTCTTGATCATTTAAATCTCTCCAGATAAAAGAGCTACAGAGAACTACAGAAGTAGTAGTGAAGAGTGGTAGTTCACCAGCCTCTTCCAGCAGCATCATTTCATTCTTTTTCAGGATCTGAATGCAGGGGTGCAGCCAAGCTATTTTAGCTTGGCATTACTTTTCTTTCCTTGAGCCTTCTGTGACATTGAACCATCTTCACTAAGAAGAGGTGGTACTTCTAGCAGAGCAGTCCAGGACAGATTTTATCAAAAATTCACATGAAGTGTAGAAAAAGGATGAGGATGGCCTCAAGCCAAGCTTTAGAGGCACCAAAAGCTTTTTCCCTTGCTGCATTTGGAGGCATATTCCTGGGAATTTGCAGTAGTTCCTGCATAATACCAGTTTCCTGCACTCCACCAAGAGTTAGCAGAAACTGTGGAGGGCAATTTCCCTCAGACCTGACCCAAAAGTTTCAGCACACAATTTAAAAGAGTCGGCTTGTTTTAGATAAGTTTGTTTGGATAAGCTTATTTGAGATCCTAGGCTGCTATACCGCATGGGATTGTGTCTGCTTTCTTTTCTGTGCTTCCTTGTTTTTCAGTGCTTTTTGTCCATCAGGCCTTTCATGCTCATCTTCTCCTTTTTAGATCCTTCAAGCTGTTGTGTATCTTCTAGTCCTTCTGAAAGATGCATCTGCCCTGTAGTGTAGACGCCCCTGAGCTAGCTTTAAATTGCCGAGGCCGCGCTGGTTGCAGCATTGCTGTGGAAGCATTTGTCCGAGAGCAGGATGCTGAGCCCCTTCAGCCGGTTTTGCAGCCCCTGCCAAGTTCTGCTGGCGGGTCTCTGGTTAGCTGAGAGCCAAGTGCAATGCAGCCGTGACTGTGATGTTTATAAAACAGCGAGTGGGTGGGCAAGAAGCTGCCATTTAAACAAAATGCCAGAAAAGTTGTCAAACTGACAGATTTTACATAATAAGAAAAAACACATTACTTTCATTATCTGAGCCAGGGTTATCATTATACAGACTACTTAAGTTTTTCCTGATTTTTTTTTCTTCTCCTTACAATTCAGTTCTTTAAGTAATAAGGGAAAATAGATACTAGTGATTACACTGTAGAATATTCATTCTTCTGGGTTCTTAAGCATCTCTTAATCTCTCTGTGTTTGCCATATATGTGGAAAAAGAAGGTGCCCTGGGGGAATATTCTTGGTACTGTGAAAATAGTGACAGCCACAACAACTTGCTGCTTTCAGTACATAACAACTTTAACACAAAGATCTCAGAGGATATGGCAGACATGAACTGGACCTAATTTATTGTAAGAATGGGAAGTTCGGTAGTTCCTGCTTTACGATGAAGTGAGCCACAGCACAGTTAAAACTTGTCATAGCTCAGGCCGTAAATTTGTGGTGGGATTCTTTATATTGTCCACATATCCTGGCAGTCTTTTACTGACTCTGTTATGAAGGCCAAGACAGAGGTTTTGCGTGGTAAAAAGTTATGGGGGGAAAAGCTAATTGTCATTTGAAAAAGTGACCTCTTTTTCCATTCAAGCTGCCTAAGCACATATTGTCATCAAAAGCAAAGTTATTAATAAAAAAAAAATATGCTGCAGCAAAGTAGCATCAGCCAGATGTTAAAACTTGACTCGAGCTGCTGTAGCCTTGTTTCTAGAATTACATATGTGATTTGATATGTAAGAGTGAGTACTCTTGAAATCAGCAGGACACTGCCAGCTTCCACAGTTTTTTAAAACTGGGCAAATTTAAATGTGACTTCTTTAACTGACCCTAGTGCCTAAGTCAAAACTAAAATGTCTGATCTATTTATGTAGATCCAAAGGAAAGTGCCTTCCCCTCAGTAGCAGTCAGGGCTCATTAACAATCAGAACAGCATTTTACCTCATTTTGACTTGAAATGTGACCCTCCTAGAAACAACTAGCTGTGCAGTTGTAGGCTATGTTGACCTGGATAGCAAGACTGCACAAAACTGCCCAGCATATTGTGTGATATGTATATCCTAGCAAACAAAAGAATTCTGTATTAAAATCAGTTGAGTTGCATATATATTTCTGAGGAACAGGCTGTTTGTTCGCTTTTTTAAAATTTTTGACTTCTGCAAATTGTTACACCAGATGACCTGTTGAGCCAACAATAGGTTGTTGTGACTCACCACAATGGGATCTCTTTCTGGCTAGCTTGAGTCGAAGCAGTTAGAGATCAGTCCTCACCAAGCACAGTCCTAACAACTTCACCTTAATTAATTCTGTCCATCTGGTCCATGGTAGTATAAACAATTTACTGCCTTGTTGCATAGCATCAGAAATGCACATAAATAAGCAATCTAGTGCTGAACCAATTCTTTTGAACGCATTAAATTCCATTTCTGGATGCTAGCAGATCCCACGCTTCCATGGGTAACTGAATACTCATACTAATTATGGTGAAGAGTTTGATAATTAAATATTTCTGGTTTTAAATTATGCTTTTTGATTTTTATTCCCACAGAGGTCTCAGTCTGCATTCTCCCTGGCTAGTGAAGACATGCCCAGTAAAGGACTAGACCCTGCGTCAGCTGTGACTGAGGCTCTTTGGAGGCAGCCAAAAGGACAGTTGAGGAAACAGAAGGAACGCAAGCTCTCTGCATTACCCAGCTGGAAGAGTGTGGACAGGCTAAATGAAACAAGTAAATATTTCTAGTACGAATATGATTCTTTTTTTGGTCCTCACTCACATGTGGAATAAATACAACTTAAAGCAAGGACTTTCTCCAGGAAATTTCTGCTGACCTCTGTCCTTCAGGGGTCACATGTAAAAATGTCTGTTTGGTGATGCTGAATGTCATGATTTCATTGGGCTGTGTCATTGCTTAGCTTACCTGTTTTGTTTTCTTTTTCTAAGAAAAGATTCAAAATTTGGGTGTTTGGGGAGTTGATTTTGGACTGTTAGGAAATGTTAAGCACCTAATTCGGATACATTTCAGAGCTTCTAAGATGCAAGAGCCCAAGGGCCCTGCTTTGTCACCTGGTTATCTGTCCTCCAATTGAAGGAGTTTGCAGCTGCCCATAGTATCCCTTCTGCTGCACAAGTTCACTGTTCATGAGGTTACACGGTGAACCAAACAGTGAAATAATTCACATTTAGGATTCCCTCTTGCACCGTTATTTTCAACCTCGATGAATTCACCTATGCAGTGCTCTGTGCAGCCCTACTAACTGCTGCTTCCACACAAGTTTGAGGAAGCTGCATCAGTCAGAAGTTCACAGCCCAGCAGTTTCCCTAGATCTGTCCTCTGTCTCCATGTGTTAAATACAGATGTGAATATGGATGATGGATGGTGAGCAACTTCCTAAGTCAGCCCCATTCCCGAATCAGCACCCTGGGATAGAATGCAATCTCCTGCTTGCTTCAAGATGACATAAGTAGAGGCTGTCACTGAAGAAGGTGGTTCGTCCTCTTGGGGGGGTCCCATTTTCACCACCTCTCTTGTTCTGGCTGTAGCGTTTGTGAGGCCACAAGAGTGTAGCACCAGGCAGCTGCTGCACAGAGAGTTGGGTCCTTTTCACCCCCACAGCTGCACAAGGGGAAGGGATGAACTGCTCACTGCAGCAGCAGCCCCTGGCTCCAGGGCACATTGCTGCTGTTGTCCTCCTGTGACAGAGTCTGCTTGTTCCTGCTTCTTCTCTCGTAACCGCTGTAGAGCCCCTCTGACCCCTGTAGCAAATTGCTTCATGAAGCTAAACAAGCAGAAAACTTCTCTTTGTAGGATGAGTGTACTGGTGCTGTCACTCCCACAGCTGGCTCGCAAGGCGCTGGCAAGCAGAAGCAGCCAAAATATGTGTTTGGGTGTAGTGGGGACCAGGGATGGGGGCTGCCTATCAATTCAATTTGTCTGTCTGTAATACCAGTTGATAACTTGGGAGACTGAAAATCAGGCAGTGTCAATACCCCTCCTCGCCCCAGAAAGAAAGTGATAGTGAAGTAGTACTGAAATCTGGCTTAACTAAGTATGCATTACTGTGTGAACTGCTCATTCAGCCCTGTGCCAGAAGTGATGTTCTCCTGGGCATTTTAGTGCAAGGCCTATTTTTAGTAAAGCAGTTAATTCGGTGCTTAAATTTAAGAACCCACATCAATCCCATTGAATTCAACTGTTGAGCAATTTAGTACTTAACAATTGCTTAACCATAACAGAATGACGAATTGACCCAGTTTCCTTTCAGATGCTCTACTCAGAGGATTTGTTCTGCTTCTTTCATCTAAGAACCACATTTGTGATGAAATTGTGATGCCTATTGAGCTGATAGTAAATAGCTGGTTGTGCTCGTATGTCTAAATATGACCTCACCTATGCAGTAGGAAGCAGCTCTGTATTAGGATACAGAAAACAAAAGAAATCTCAACCAAGAGTTTGCAGTGGTAACATCGGTGGGCTTTTTACTCATGTAGCCAAAAAGCAGTTCACAATTCATTTTGATTACAGTTTGCACTGGTTTAAATGATGACTCAAGAGCCAAATAATGAATTTGTGCTTTTTTTCCCCTTTACCAATAGTTTCACAATAAGTCTTCTTAAATCTATTTTCACATGGATAAATTATAGCATATACCCACAGCATTGTGTGCAAAATCCATTCTTTCAAGTAAGTGACTTTGTTTTGGAAAATCAGGGAGGGAGCATTTCACGTTACTTGAAGGTGAGATAAAACTGAGTCAGCTTTCTGAATATAAAGTTCTCAGTGGCTTTCCTTTCCACCCTGCTTACCCTCTAAGATGTAATTGACTACTGTCCTGTCCTTTCTTCAGTTAACTGAGGATGTTTGACCAATTCTCACATGCTGCTGCTACACAAAATAAGGCGATATGGCTTGGGAGAAAGTATGTGACACTCCACTGCATTACGTTTGTGTAGCGTGGTACAGCTGAATTCAATTCCTGTTAGTGATTTATAACTTGCAGAGCTGTTTGCTTTGTTCGAAGGAACAATGTTTTTAAAGAAAGGTCTTCTTTCTCTCAAGAGAATCCTATATTTAGATTAGTTGGAAAAAGTGAACAAACAGAAGTTCCTTATGCTTGATAGCTTGTATTCTTTTTTTCTCCAAAAACCAGCTGTTACAATACAGAGTTATTAGTTCTCCCTATACACCTGACTTCCGTTATATCCTCAGCTGCTCACTACTACAAGAAAACTATTACTAATTTGATTTCTTTTTAAGCAGGAGTAAGAATGACTTCAGTGATGTATTTTCTCAAGTTCTCTGAATTGGCATGCAATTTAGGAAGTGAAAACAAGCCAAAAGGACTCAAATGAGTAACAAATACAAAAACTGTTCTAAATCTTGCATAGCTTCTAAGTTTAATTACCATTTAATTATCATTTCATTTTTGTGGGGATGTTTAGTTGGTTGTAGTGCATCACAGACTTTTTTTTTTAAACTTAGCACAACTTCTTAGCGCATACTTAAGTTCTTTATGAACAATTCTAGGGAAAAAGTCATCCTGAGCTCCAGGTATTTGTAATCATGTAATGCAAGATGCTTGAGTATCATCTACAACATGATCCAGATTTTACTTTGTCCATTTTTGAATAGTGATGTTCTGTTTACAGTTTTAGAAAACTAATAGTTTATTATAAGTATTTCTACAGTTTTCTAGAAATGGCAAATTATGAGCCCATGGAAGGAATCTGTAAGGCTGAAAATCTCATTCAGTAGGCTGAGATTACTCTGTAAATCCATGGCATTATGTATTTATTCAGCTGCTGTGGGAGGTAGAGTCATCACACATTCACATTTCCCATGAAGGGACTTTCAAGTTTGATTGGAAATGGAATCTAAATTTAGAAGAAATGCAATTCTCTAAGTTATACAGCACTTTTTGACCATTCTTTTGGCTTTTTTTTTTTCCCCCGTCAGATTTGTAAAGCATACTCTGAAAAAGTGTAGGAATACAAGAACAGCAATGCTTGGGTCAGACAAAGAGCTCATTTAGTCTAGGATATGACAACAGCAGCAACAGCTTGCTTAACCATAACCAAGAGCCTAGGAAAGATTAGGAGAAAGCAAGTATTTTTCATGCTGCCTCTGAGTAGGCTCTGAATCTCCAGAAGTTTCAGCTTAATGACTATCTCAGCTAGAAGTGTTTTTCTGTATTTAGTAAACCTCAGTGGATTTCTCTCCCATGTCCATATCCATCCCTGGTTTTTCCCAGACTAATTTGTAGCATCCATAACACCCTTAGGCAAGAAGCTCCATAGGTCTGGTATCCATTGCACCCCACTTTGTTTTGAACCTTGATTTCTCTAGTTTCACTTGATGTCCTCTAGTAGTTAGGTTGGAAGAGATTCCCCTGTCTTATAGCCTGTATCCTCTCAGTCTTCTCTCCTCCAGGTGGCAGAGCTCTGGCTTACTTCATCATTCCTGAATGGAAGCCATTTCAGAACCTGGTGCAGCCTTTGTTGCTCTTCTCTGATCCTTTTTCCATCTTTTCTTTTCAAGATGGGGGACCAGAACTGCACACAAAATCAAAGACATTTGCAAAACACAGGATTTATACATGTCTGTGTACTGATGTTCCCTCAGCCATTCCCAGTAATTCTTTTAGAAATAAGCTTTGGTCCAAGTACTCTCAGGTTTTAAATAGTCAGCGCCATGGCTTTAAGTGGTGACTTCCGAGTACGGCAGCATGGCTCACAACATGAGAGAGTTCATGTAGCAGCAACATTTGCATTTGTTCGTTAGTTTTTTTGAACCCTCCAATTTGTGGCCAGTTGGTAGCAAAGTGGCAAGTAAAATGAGCCTTTCACACTATGATCACAGTTGTTCTTGTTTCATTTTCATAGATCCACCTTCTGTTTTTCAAAGCACTGACGGAAACTGGGTAGCTTTGCAGAATGTCACTTTGCCTCGTCCTCGAATGCTTGCCAAACCAAAGAGTCAAGTGTTTAAAGCTTTGGAGAATGAATCCAGCATTGTGTCTGCCTATGACGAGATGGGCTCAGACAGTGAGGATGACTACGACTGGAATGTGGCCTTGAACAAGCTGCGTCAGAGACCTCGGCAATTAGCAGATGATTTCTATTATACCAATTCCCAGTATGGTCCTGAATGGGTTTATGGCGATGATCAGTACCAGGCAGTAACCTCCCCTTCCTCTGGGTTATATACTAATACTGAGACACTGTTCTCCGATTCAGAAACATCTTCAGTAAACTCTTCCCAGGAAGCTAAAGGACCTAGCAAATTTCTCTGGTTACAAAGTAGAACTCAAAGTGATATGCCCAGAATGGAAAAAAAACATTTCCACGGAGAACTGGATGTAAATTTCAATCCACAGGCAACCAGCTTGGAGTACTCAGACAGCAGTGAGACTGAAGAAGTCCATTACGATTTAGAAAAGAGGTCAAAAAGGTGGAGGAAGAAAGCCATATCTGAAGAACTATGTGAAGAAAAAAATCGCACAAAAGTCCACAAGATGAATTTAAGTCAGGTAATTGTGTTTGAGCTTACCAAATGCATTCTCAGAAAGAGCTGGGCAAAACTAATTAAGCTATGCTGGCAATAACACATGAATCGTGAGTGGGAGGTGGAGTGTTCTTGCAAGCTTTATCTTCCACATGCCTTCTAACTGAGAAGAAGCAAAGGTAAAGTGTTACATACACTGTGAATAGGCTTTGCCTCTTTCTCAGATACACCACTTGCATATGATTAGTGACATTGTTAATGCTGTAAAATACAGTACTCTTAAAAAAAAAAAAAAAAAAAAAGTCAGGATTTGCCAACAGCTAGAAAGGGTTGGCCAATCACCTGTTTTGTTGCGTTGGGGTTTTTTTAACTCCTTTGTTCTTGGAATAAGAAATAACTCACATGCCTGGGGATCTTCTGTGCACTGTTTGCAAATGTTCTGGTAAGGGATAAAGCGGATGAGCAGCAGTAGTTCAGAAAAGGCTTTTTCTGAAATACGGTCCAAGTGATGTCTGCTTTTAATTGGTCACTTGATTATGAGTTCTGATGGGTTAGGGTGAGTGTTTGCAAACTACTTCCATTTAAATAATAAGACAATTGATTTAAAAAAAAAAAAAACAAAACAAAACAGAATGTAACAGCTTAAACTTGGAAAAACTGATCATACAACTTGAAGGCAGCAAAGTACTCCTCAAATATTTCTTTTAAACAACAAGTGTGGGATAACCAGAAAGCCAAGAAGTCTTCTCCGTTTGGAGTTTGTCCAGGCCTGGGACTGATATTGGATTGTCCCCCAAAACTTATAGCAGTACAAGCACACTTCTTACTCTAATTACCCAGCTGGATGAGGAGAATATTGACCCCTTGTCCAGTTCCATTTCCCATGTCCTACTCCTCTTAAATCCTGGAGCTGCGTCATTGCTGCAGCAGAGTAATGGTAAGGCTGAAACAAGAAGCTAAGTGCTGTCTTCTCCCTATGCCTCTGACTACCAGCAACCTGATCCAGTCTTTAAAGCCATCTGAGCAATTTTAGGATGCCTGGAATTGTTTTTCTTTGCTTATGCTACTAGCCTGTATTTCCCATAGAAAGACATCAGTACAGCTGATCGTAAATCGAGATTAGGATTCTAGGATTTCAGCAGGGTTTTAGTGCTATTAACTGTTGTTAATTCTGTATCTATTCCATCTGCTTTTAGGAGATGGGTGTGGGTGTTTCTGGGTGGTTCTGACCCGCTCTCCCCTTCATTTTACCCTTTAGGCTAAAAGAGACTGTTCCTGCTCTCCTGCTCCCTCAGCTGCAGAGGAGGCAGAGGCACACTGCCTCCAGGTCACGCTGCTGTTTTCAAAGCAATGAAATTCTCACTAGGAAGTTTACGTATGGGTGGGTTTGCATACATCTAGTTTGTGTTTGGACACACACACCTGTGGTGGCTGATTTGACAGCTGGTGTCCGCATTGGGAGAACTGTTATGCCAGCCT